TTCTGGGTTCAGAACCGCCAACACCACAATTGTCATTTCTGGTGGAAGAACATGTTAGGGTCCTTACGGAAGCCAGCGTCCGGAAATGCTGGCTCACGATCTCCCAGAGAATGGGGTGGACAGCAGAGGAGCTGACGCAAAAATCCATGGAAGATCAAGGACATCTGGGATCGCTCGGTAAGCCCACACCTTTCTTCTTGTACTAGTAGATGCACGCATAGGTTCTGCATGCATATGGGGCTTCATTCACAGACCGTTCGTGCAGCACTCTTAGGGGCCTACCATACGGTGCAGTACGCAGCAGTTTCTTTGGATGACCCATTTCGCATATAAACTCAGGGGACGAATCATCTATGGTTTATACCGCAAGCTTGACTTCGCAAGCAAGGAGACTGGTACATCTACCACAACCTGTCTTTCACCCCGGCTGATCCTTGCACTTCTCCCCGGGACGCGAGCGGGATGGCTACTGCCAACGGCGGCCGGTTCCTGCTCAACTTGGGCGGCGTATTCTATACGCCGCTCAAAAGCCAAGTAGATGTCCGATGTTTGGCTTGGCTCGGCTTAGTTTGGGGGGGGGTGGGTAAGATGGACACTTAAAGGCTATGCTGCACGTGCGCGCCTTGCAAACAAAGACTTTACAAAGGAAACGCCCGCAGAATAGATGCAACGCACCCGCAGAATAGACGCAATGCACCCTTAGCATCAGACTGTGTCCCGGGCGGGGGCGCGGAGGGCGCAGAGGGCGCGGAGGGCGCGGGGGGCGTGGAGGGCGCGGGGGGCGCAGAGGGCGTGGGGGGGCGCGGAGGGCGCGGCGGGCGCGGAGTGCGCCGAAGGGCGCGGAGCGCGCGAGGGCGCGGAGGGCGCGGAGGGGGCGCGGAGGGCGCGGAGGCGGGGAGGGCGCGAGGGCGCGGAGGGCGCGGCGCGGGGGCGCGGAGCGGCGCGGAGGGCGCGGACGGCGCGGAGGGCGCGGATCGGCGCGGATCGGCGCGGAGGGCGCGGAGGGCGCGGAGCACGCGCAGGGCTCGGAGGGGCGTCCACGTGTCCCCACTCCCTTGCCCATCAACGGAATGTCACGCTCCCCATCCGTGCTTCCCCCCCGAACCCGTCCGTCAACCTCCAGGCATGGTCCACGCCTCCCCACACCACCCCTCTCCCAGCAAAATGTTCCGAACCCCCTCCCTTGACCGTGTCGTCTCCGCGGCCTCCCGTCAAAAGGTTGACCGTCTCCTCTTCGTGGCCTCTTTCGCCAAAAAGCGATCCGGTAGATCGCCTTCCACGTTGAAGCGCCAAACGAGAACCCAAGAACAGAATTGGTTTTCGGGAAGAATCCAAGAAAACAAAGAGCACGCGCAGAATAGACGTTATGCGTCCAAGGCACGGGGGGGGTGGGGGTGCTTTTGTAAACCGTGCAAGTATTGCAAGCTTGCTTCTGCGGACCATCATACGGCATCAGTCCGAAACAGCCCCCGATCGGAAAACCCACGGGCCGAGTCTGAAAACGAAAGCCCCGGCGGGAAGCCATGCTAGCCATGCTGTTTCTTTAAATCCGCCCGCGTGCCATCGGAGATCTCCGAGGCTCCAATCCGAAGGCGGAAGTGTTCCATCAAACCGCCGAAGGCCTCTGTGGGAATGCCCTTTCGATGTCCTCTCCCCGTCTGAAGCACGAGGCCCTAACCCCAGACATTGACACGTTGACACGCCTTAAAGATCTTTAATGAAGGGATTTGGGTTTAAGGCTTAAACTTACCCCGTCGGCATCGGCATCGGCAGCGCTTCCGGTCCTCGGGCTTGGCGAGTCCGGCGGCCGCTTTTGTCGGGCGACACTTCGGGGGGTGTGAGCTGGGTGCAAGCCGGGTGCGAGCTTTGGCGGTGGGACCCGGAGGACTTAGCGGCAGGAGTTTATGAAACGAAGGATGGATACAGTCGAGCTTTGGCAGCAGGATTGAACATATTGAACAGAGGGACATTGCGTGCGAGCTTCTGGCAGCGGGACATCAGGACTGGAGAGTGTGTGAGGGTGTGTGTGAGGGTGTGAGTGAGTGAGCGAGCGTGCGTGCGTGCGTGCGTGCGGGCGTGCAGCGTGGGTGCGTGGGTGCGGGCGTTTGTGGGCTTGTGTGTTTATTTGAGTGTGTTTGTGTGTGTGTGTGTGTGTGTGTGTGTGTGTGTGTGTGTGTGTGTGTGTGTGTGTGTGTGTGTGTGTGTGTGTGTGTGTGTGTGTGTGTGTGTGTTGTGTTGTGTGTTGTGTTGTGTGTTGTGTTGTGTGTTGTGTTGTGTGTTGTGTTGTGTGATGTGTTGTGTGTTGTGTTGTGTGTTGTGTTGTGTGCTGTGTTGTGTGCTGTGTTGTGTGTTGTGTTGTGTGTTGTGTTGTGTGTTGTGTTGTGTGTTGTGTTGTGTGTTGTGTTGTGTGTTGTGTTGTTTGTTGTGTTGTGTGTTGTGTTGTGTGTTGTGTTGTGTGTTGTGTTGTGTGTTGTGTTGTGTGTTGTGTTGTGTGTTGTGT